TATACCTCTTCAGCACAGTATATAAGCTCACATGGTTCGACGATAAGATAATGAAATAAGAGACCCGAAAAGAACGCACAACAGACATTGTCTTACGTGTAGTATATAGACGTGTATATACATAGTTACCCAGTGAGAGACACGGTAGACCTGGTAGCTTGGGGACTGCCTGCCACTGATAGGCGGGCACATACATACATATGTATGTGTATGTGTAGATAAGAAAAGTCGAAACAGACGATAAGCACAGTGTGTGCGATGATTGCACGCTTTACGAATATGGCAAATTGTGCTGAATAATCGATGAATGCAGAAATTGTTAATCTATATAGAGAGTGAATGTGTACAGTAAGAGCTGGCTGAATGAAACTGCTTTGAAGAACTAGTCAACTCTTTAGTCGCGGAACCAACTCAATTCGAAATACTACAGATTATCGGAGAATTCTTAATAAATGAGTGTAAAGTTAAGATGTATGTATATGCTAACATATTTATCACTAGCTCGTTAGTCTTAGATATTTAATAAAAAGTGAAATCTTTTAATATAAACAGTATAATATTACATTTGCCTCGTGAGACTTTAATTCGAATTAGTCAAAAAAAGTTCAGGTTTCAGACTTCACTGTACCTTTGTATGTATATTATCCATCTATAGAATAGAACTAATGCCTCGCTTCTATCTCTTTGTCGCACAGGTTTCTGTCGCATGGTGGACAACAGCACGAGCAACACTTCCTCGGTGCTGGGCCTGCCCAGCAGTGGACATGTTAGTAACGCTGGCAGCTCCACTCTGAACGTAGGCAGCCATGCGAATGCCAACAGCGTAGCTGGTGGTGGTGGTGCAGTCGGTGGTGTTGGCTCTATGAGCGGCGTAGCAGCTGCGGGTGCAGCTGGTGCTGTGGGTGCGGCCGGTGTGGGTGGCATGACCAGTGATCTATTGGCCAGTGGTGGCGGAGCACAGGGCGGCACGGATCGTTTGGACGCTTCCAGTGACAGTGCGGTTAGCTCGATGGGCTCGGAGCGTGTGCCTTCGCTCTCCGACGGCGAGTGGGGCGAGGGCAGCGACTCGGCGCAGGACTATCATCAGGCCAAATACGGAGGGCCGTACGACTTCAGCTACAACAACAATACGCGCCAGCCGCCGGTGGCCCAGAAGAAGCATCAGCTGTACGGCAAGCGGGATCTGCATAAGCAAACGCCCAGCGCACTGACGGCCACAGCGGCACCCGTGGCAGCCACGCCCCAGTCGCAGCAGCAGCAACAACAGCCGCAGGTGCAGAGCATCAAGTACGAGTACGAGGCGGGCGCAGCGGCCTTTACGGGCAGCAATGTTGGCGAGGCAGCTGCAATGGCGCCCGTCCTGTCCAAGGACTACCACCAGGCCTACGGCATGAGCGCGGCCACCGCCTTCACTGCCGACTATGGCATGCCACGTGCTCCATTGACGCCCCAGGGCGTGGTTCAGCTAAATCACACGTACTCGTTGCAACAAGGAGGCGCCGGAGCGCTGCCCCAAGGAAGTGTATCGCTAAGCAGACCGCATCCCCGAGATAAGAAGCCGCCGACAGCCAATAAACATGCCTCCAAGTCGAACAGCAGCGGCGCAGGCAGCGGCATGGAGGAGGAGCATCTGTCGCGGGACGAGAAGCGGGCACGCGCCCTGAACATACCCATAGCAGTGGGCGACATCATCAACCTGCCCATGGACGAGTTCAACGAGCGCCTGTCCAAGTACGATCTGAGTGAGACGCAGTTGTCGCTGATACGCGACATTCGGCGGCGTGGCAAGAACAAGGTGGCGGCCCAGAATTGCCGCAAGCGCAAGCTGGACCAGATACTCACGCTGGAGGATGAGGTGAACACGGTGGTGAAGCGCAAGGCGGAGCTAAATCATGCTCGGGAACAGCTGGATGCGGAGCGAAAGCGCATCTCCAACAAGTTCTCCATGCTGCATCGCCACGTATTCCAGGTGGGTTGTCAGCTAAAGTCAATCGCCAGTTGCCGCACTTTGCTAATCTCAATGCGTTTTTCTCTCTCACAGTATCTACGCGATCCCGAAGGCAATCCCTGCTCCACGGCTGACTATAGCCTGCAACAGGCGGCCGATGGCTCGGTCTATTTGCTGCCGCGCGACAAGTCGGACAATGGCACCACGGCAACAACTGCCGCCAGCGCGGTGACTGCGAGCGGCAGCCAGCAGCAGGCGTCGTTGCATGGCGTGCATCAGGGCCATCATCAGGTGCAACACGTGCCACTGCAGCAGCAGCAGCAACAGTCACGTCTGCCATCCCATTTGCAGCAGCAACATCATCAACTATTGCCACAGCAGCAGCAGCAGCAGCAGCAACAACAACAACAACAGCAGCAGCAACAGCAGCAGCAGCATCAGCATCACAAGGAATGAAAATATCTGCTGCGTATTGCCGCAACAACGAGTTGGTTGTCAAACTTTCAGCAGCAGCAGCAGCAGCATCAACAACTGCAGCGGCAACAGCAGCAGCTTAATTTGCAACAGCAACATCAGCAGCAGCAGCAACAATGTTGCGAGCAAGCGTACGATTACTGTTACGATTTCTACAACAACAGTTACCTGTATTACTGAGCGGTTGCCGTTCTTATTCTTATGTTACTCCTGCGCCTACTATGTTGCTTGCAACATGTTGCTGGCAACATTCGGTTGCAGGACGCTGCTACGAAATGATTCGCTTGAATTTCTGCTACTGCAGCTGGTTTTTTTCTGTTTTTCACTTGCTTTTGCATTTCCCCCCCATAATCCCCAATCCCAATCTAACTTAGTCAATATATATTTGTTATTTATTTTTAAAAATTCTTGAAAATTGCCTTCCCCCATAGTTTTTCTCTTACATATGAATATCCATGTATTGAATAGAATCAATAGTGCATGGTATGCAAATTTATACCTTACTTGTGATAAATAATTTGTGAATTATTATTGTTTGAAGCAGCAACAATTAACTGAAAACTTGAATTGAAACACAATTTGTAAAGCCCACTAACAATATCCTCTGTCACACACACAGTCTCATTTGCATATACACTTACACTTACAAAACTATCAATGCGTCGTCCAAAAGAATTATGATGCTAGAAACCATTTACATTTATAATATTAGTCTGTAAAATAACAAAACAACAAACAAAAATGATGAGCACATGTATAAATAGCTGTTAGGTAAAAATTTTGTAAACATTTTGAAACAAACAAAAAAAAAATCAGAAGAAAAAAAAAAACAAAATAAAATAAAAAATATTGCTGGACATTTCATAGACTCGCTCGTAAGACGCCTAGCCCTAAGTACACCAATACACATACGAAAATACACCCACACACACAAACACAAAGTAAACCCTAAGAGAACAACAATTAGCGTATTATTTACTAATACTTTAAGCTAGCTCATAAACAAAACATCTGTAAATACTTATTAAATAATTTAGCTTTAATTAAACTAATTGATTATATAATCCACTCGGTGCACTAGGCCAGAGCTAAATGTAAATTTTACAATTTAAGATTCGAACGCAACAGAGTTTAAAGTGAAACAAAAACAAAAAGTACACAAAAAAATATAAGAAATATTAATATTTAATATTCTTTAAATGTCCTAAAGCATAAAAACCAGAACTTATTTATAATGCTGTAAACAGAGATCAGAAACATGAAACGAAAGAATATTGTGAATTGTATGTATGTTTCTATATATATATACATGTGCATATATTTACACAGTTAAATGGTTGCAATTAATTTCGCGTATCTCAAAATAATTATCGCAAAATAAATAACTAAAGAGAATTAAGCAAAAACGAAACAATGTGCGCAACGTAGCAAAACAATGCGAAATAATTTGTTTGTAAATTGTAATAAACACTTACCTTATTATGTCTATAAACATTTAAACACACACACACACACATACAAACATACGTAATGAAATACATTTACATATTATATTAACATATATTTAAATTAAAAGTAAAAGTAAAAGTACTTATGTTTTGAATATTTTATGCAATTCTTTTATTAACCAACATACGATGATATGTGGGCTGCATCTAAAAAATCTCATTATTGAGCGGGATAGTATTGCTTATACACAAATATGGGTGTATAATAAATATAAGCATAGACTATAGCATCTCCTACACAGTTGTCTGAATGTTTCCTATATAAATGTGCATGTGGATTTTAATTGAGAAACTTGTATGCTTCGAGAAACGAAAACAAAAAAACCAAATAAAAGATAAAAAAAAAAAAACAAAACAAAAATATAAATAACATTGTCTTTTATATAGTTGGTATATTCACTGGCTGGTGTACTCCATAATCTATAATCAAGCGGTAATCCAAATATATTCACTTCATCCCAGCTATAGACTAAATTTAAGAGATTTATTCGAATGCCTAAGAGTATGCAACAAAAATTATGCTTCGTTTTATGCACAAATGTATGGTATGTGCGCGGCTCAACTCTACATCGAGATYTGAAACWGTTTACTGTGGAGGAACMGATTGKGAGACACACTAGCCGATATAGTGACAGACTGGCTAGACACCGGAGCAGACTAGCGAGAAGATTGCTTCCTGCGAGACCACTAAGGCGATTAAAACGCTTGGGTTTTGCCAAAAATATGAGATAAGTCGTTTAGGGATACTTGTAAATATATATTTGTAAGTCCTCCTGAATACATCAGAAGGTTAGGTGTTATATAAAAATTCTAATTGTGTTGTTAAGGTACTAAACTTGCATTGTACAGATTCAGCGCTTAAAATATATATACAAACAAAAAAAAAAAAAAAAATTAATGGCGGTCGCAAAATGCAAAACAAGTTTATAGATGTTAAAATAAAACAGGTTGTATTTTGCATATATATTTATATAATATATTTAATCAGGTGTTTTGTATATTCTCGGTCTTTTCATTTTTATAATCTTTGCGACACTTAACATGTAAATAAAATACATCAATTAACATTCACATATGCTCATTCCATTTATTGTCCACACATTATTTATAACAATTGAAGCTCATTTCTGCTATAATTTGGTATATTTACACATTGGGTAATTGAGATATTGAACAATCATCGTTTAAGGAAGGTTTTTTAAATCATATTACATTTCATTTTGTTTTCTTCATTCATTCACATGCATGAGCTTTATATAGTTGAAGACTTTATATGATTCTACATGGAAGTTGCAGCATTTTGGTTTCATTATATCGTTTTCGGTATTTGTTATAATATCAATTTGAGCTTATCTATAGTAAATTCATTTAAAACTAACACTAACGGAAAAAGATATACTAAAATCATCAATTATCATCAAGTTTTTTTGTGTTTGCTTTTTAAATACAAACCAGATGCGTCGGTAAGGACTTGCTGCTGGTATAGACGGGGAGGGGGAGTGTGTATGCGCTTGTTAGGGATCTTTAGGAGTTCACAGCTAACAGAGCTACATCTGAGTGAGCGCTCTGCTTACATCTATCTATCAATCTATATGTATGTATGTATGTATGTATTTATATTATGTACTCTAACTAGATTTCTAGGAGCCTACACTTAGAATACAACATCAGTTTGGGTCCGCTCCGCTTGCTCGGGTTGAATATCAGCACATGGAATCGATGGGCAGCTGATCCTGTTTGATGCTCAGTCGTCGGGGATTCGCTTGCTTGACTCGACTGCTGTTGCTGCCAGTAGCAGCAGCTCCAGCCGGTGGTGCAGCGGTTGCAGCTGCTATCGTATTCAACGCACTGAGACTGTTGTTGTTGCTGTAGTTGCTGCTGTTTATGGAATTACCGGAGTTGGTTCTCTCATTAATACTTGTTAGGTTGGGTATGCTGGGCGCCGTTGTCGTTATGGATATATTGTGGCCGCCCATGGTGAACGATGCGCCGTGCTTGCCATGGCCATGGTGATTGTTGTTGTTGTTGTTGTTCAGTGGCTCCAGTTCGCTAGGCAGGACGCCGTTCGGTATGGAATGCGAGCGTATTTGCAAACGGCCCGAGTCCAACGACTCATCGCTGGCCGGATCGAGGTGATCCACAGACGCGGCCGATGCAATGCGCTGGAACATGCTGGCCGTGGAGAGCGTACGATCCCCAAAGGGCACTGATCGATAACAATAAATTTTAGTAAGTTTAATATGCTTCATTGAAATGGGTCTAGAGATTAGCTTACCTATGCCGCTTTTGGCACTGCGCGTGCACTCCGACTTGACCTCGTCCAGCTGCTTGGCACTGCACAGGGGCGTGTCCACGTCGTAGGTGTTGTTGAAGAGCGTGTAGTCCACCTCGTACTCGCCCGTCTCCTTGCGAAAGGACACTACATTGACGAACCGATGGCCCCACAGTATCTCCGAGGGTAAATAGCTGCTGCGCGCCTGCGTCGTCATGCCCGTGGACTCGATGACGCCCTCTGTAAGCCGAAGATGCAAAGATTAGAGACAGGATTGATTGCGGCTTAATGTGAAACTTACCCAGCATGACGACCACCTCGAAGCGCTCCTTGAGCATATCCGAGGCGGAGAGCATGTAGAGCGGACTATTGCGATCGATCTTGTGCACAATGGTAGTTGGCCAGATGAACATCAGCCGGTCCTCACCCCCATCGGCGCCCACATGCAGCTCCTGCTGATAGAAGGGCAGCACTTCGCCCTCCTTGGTCACTTTCTTGCGTATGACCTGGGCACGGACATGAGCCTCGATGATGTGCGACTTGCGCATATCACCGACACGGAACATCAGGCACGGTGTTCCATCCCTATGACAGATGACCGCATTCCTGGAGAAGAGCAGCGTCTGGGCGCGCTTCTTGGGCCGCGACAGCTTGGCAAAGACAATGCCCACCATGAAGGCCTGAATGAAAACGCCCGTGATGCACTGTATGCACATCGTGAATATGGCCTCCGGGCACTCCTCGGTCACATAGCGATTGCCATAGCCGATGGTCGTTTGCGTCTCCACCGAGTACAGGAAGGCCGTCATCATGCCCTTCACCTCCGTCACGCACACCGTGTGCGTCATATTGGCAATCAGCTCCGGCTGTGTATTGCGCAGATATATATACTCCAGATCGTTGTGGGCAAACGCTATGATCCACCAGATCACGCCGAAGAACGCCCAAGAGAAGACGAAACTGGCCGCAAACACCAGCAGCGTCCAGCGCCACTGAGCGTCCACGAGGGTGGTGAAGATGTCCTGCATAGTGAATGGTAAAGAGAGGGAGCGAGAAGAAGGAGAGAGATGTTTAGAGTAGTTCAAGGCTTAAAGCTCAAAATCTATCCGTTCATGAACTAAATATTCCATGTTTGAGTCTTAGCTGAGACGTTTGACTCAATTCGGATTCCTAATTAGCTAAATCTAGAACTATTTTAGTATAACGATGCGTTTCATATTAATAGCAGCAATATGGAACCAGTTCAACTATGGTTTAGATACTCGCTATAAAGTAAAATGTGCTAAAAGAACCTACCCTCCCGCCCCTAGGCCTTCTTTCACATTTGCATTTCTTATCGTTACTTGGCGCATTTTTGCCTTGGAGCATTTGACTTGAGTTAGATAATTGGAGCGAATAGAAGGTAAATTGAAATATGCCTGCATTTGCATAATCCCAACGACGCATATACATATATATTATATTATGTATGTGTGCGTTTATCTTCAGCTAAATATAAAACAGACTTCTCACCTGCAGATAACGGCGGCGTCTCTTGGCCACGTTGCCTTGCACCACGTTGCATTCGCCATGCTTGAAGACGACACGTTTTCGCATGCGGCGCGAGCTAAAGCGCGTCTGCCGATACCTATTGGAGAGAAAGAGAGAGAGAGAGAGAGAGAGAGAGTTAGTTTCAGGCACGTGGACTTTACTACGGTTATGTCGGTAATTCATTACTTTAATGCCTAGCTTAATTTATTCATAAAAATTTATGGACTTCAGAAAAAAGAAGAAAAAGAATATAAATATAATTTTCTTATTTTTTTAGCTAGGCATCTTTACATTTACTGTTTACACAATCTCTCCTAGTCTTCTCTTAATAAATTTAAAAACGAGAAAGATAAATGCTTTCCCACATTAAAATGCTTTTTTCCATAAATAAGATTCCCATTTCCTGAAAGAAGTTTTATTAATAGAATTTGATTCTTAGTATAGATTGTAAATTTTATTTTGGAAATAGAATATATACAAATGTTTATACATATGCATATAGAGTCAAAGCGAGCATCCACTGTATTTACAACCAGCTAAACGATTTCTTAGCCTTTGTTGTCGCATTGCTATTTATGTGTCTCTCTTATCAATAGAGCTGATAGCCTATATATGTATGCCATTTGGTGCATGCCATCTCAGTTCATAACATCTGTTGTCATCTTGTCAATTTTGTATTTTTAAAGTACCCCAAGTGAGCGCAGATTGAATTATTAGCAAGTGCTGTCCGACTTGGGTTGATAACAGAATTTAGGAATATTTTATAATGAAATATGAAATTAGTTAAAATTTTCTATAATCTGATGTGTAGTGTAGGGCATATAAGGTGATATAAAACGTATTAAAGAAATATAATATCTCTATAGATCTCTGATATAATTGCATGCACACAATTAAGAAGCAATGAGTATTATAATTGCCTGGCAACAAGAGATACAAACATAAAGTTGTAGCAGACTGTCCATTGACATTGCGCTTGATAAATCATGGAAAAAACAGGAAATGTACATGTGCATATATATCTTTATTTCCACGCATATATGTAAAGTACACATTTATTTTATTTTTAAGCAACAAAAGATTCACTGTTGTAGAGGTTCAAGGGCTAAGAGTTATCCAGGCCTTACTATGTAAATAAGAATATTTGCTTTTCAGCTAAACCAATTACCAGTGTAGAGTCTCTAGTAAAACGCCGCAGCAGCACACGAAAATCACAAAGACAGGTATGACGATCATGAAGAGTTGCAGTTTATTTGATTAGATGAAAGTTTTTTTTTATGTATGTATGTATATAGCGGCGATCCTTAGCTTAACGAATAATTCGCAAGCTTTCCGCAAAAGCTCTGCGTTGAAAGCTTTCACACAATCGCGATCAAGAGTCAAACTCGCACTGCGAAGCCAATTGGATGGACAGGCCATTTGGAGCTACGATTACAGTAATCGCAAATTTCAACTGTAAATTGTAACGCTACTTACATCAAAAAGTAGCGATAACAATAGCAGAGATGAATGCATTTCGCTTCTCATTGTGCGTTTTGCATACTCTGCACGCATTCAAAAGAGGACAGAGAGGTCGAAATGGAGAATTGTGTGATTGATTCTCATTATGAGAGGAGAGACAACTCGGAGAGACTTGAGAAGACATGAATAAATTTCATTTGATTTAGAGAATAAAAGATTTGTTTGATCATGTTTTAGCTCTTAAAATCTCATTCGAATCGGAGTAGAAACAGAGAAGTTTACCAATATTCTATATTTTAGAGCGCATCTGTTCGTCGTGCATACCTGAATTTTACGCAAATATTTTGCGTTTCATTGCAATTTCACGCTTTATCAGCTTGTTCTGCTCGCACCACCTCTTTCTGCTATTCTGCTTACTTATGCAAACCTTCCACAATTCGATGGCGCTCAAAGCTCGCTTGTAACTGACTCTTGAGTCGAAATCCAAAGCTCAAGCAAAGTGCGAAGAGAGCTTTTCGAACTGTTCAATCGGCTTTTTGCTACTCTTATAATTAAAAGACGAGCTCTGTTTAGCACTCTCTTTCTCTCTCTCTCTCTCTCTCTCTCTCTCTCTCGCTCCATCACTCAACTTGACAACTTCCCAAATGAGTTTCTTTCTTCTTCTTCTTCTTCTTCTTCAGGCTGATGTCAACTCCGGATATTGATAAATGGTTTACCGTGCATTGCTCCAGTCATTTCGAGCTGTGCAAAAATTCGTGGAAATTGACATCGAACTTGACAATAACATTCATTAGTTAAAGCTTTCGAAATTTGTGTTTATTTTCTAAGTAATCGCATGCAAATAAACCGGTCTCTCAAGCATTGTCACACAGCTATACCCTATATGTCTTAAAATGGTGTACACAGCCGGGCAAGTTATCAATTCTGGTTAAAAATATGCCATATGTTTATACATATTGGGGATTCTCATACAAACATGGGTCTAACGAATCGTTCTTTATTTCTTCTACTTTCGCTATGTATATGTATGTATGCTCACATCCCATCTATAGATGTATATATATTGTAAATTTGTTTCCAACATTTTCTCTTCTCGCATTCCTCCACTTACTCATTTCGTCTTATTTTACCTTAGCGTAATCTTATGAAGTTTTCATATATTAAAGAAAAGCTCTCATATTTTATATCTTGATCATATTGCGATTAAATGAATTGGAAGTCAAGTTATAGTCATTTATTTCTTATATTTTCTACATAAATGGTTTACAGGGTATACTTCATAGTCGAGCATGCCTTCAACTACTGCACTCTCGTTTTCGTTTGGCTAACCGCAGCTTAGCTTCAATTATGAACAATATGACTAAACTAGCAGGGGCTGTACGAGCCGTATATCTAATGCTGTTGCCAAAGGCAGGTAAGCAAGTTCAATGGAATCACACTGAGTCATTGCCAAGGGTTTCTGTGTTAGACTCGAAAAAAGATCAGCTCAGGGAGATAGAGAGCTTCAGCAACTTTATACAGAAGATAGAAAAAAAGGTTGACCAGTTGTAAATTATACAGGTATATATATAAATTCAAGGTATATTTTACGTATATTTTATATTTACATATTTTATGTAAGACTTAGCTATCTTCATTCTATATATATTTTTGTTCTACGCTCCATTGCTCCAGTCAGATAAGTAGAGTTGGCTAATTGCACGCAATTAAATATTTCGAGATAAAGAAAAAAAAAAAAAGTACGAAACTGACCTAAGACATGGTGAAAGTAATGATTAAACAATTTGCTGGGAGGTTTCCTTTGCTCTCTCTCCCGCTCACTCTATATATATCTCTCTCTGTTGATCACTGAAAGTTCTTGGCCGATTGCCAAGGTATTTATAATCGAAATGCAACTATAAAGCGGGCCTCTACATATAAAGTTAGCTGGCTATATAATGTTGACCGAGGTCGTGAATGAAACCGTTTGACGTCATTTTGGTCAAGCAAATCGAAATGATTTTCAAGTAAAGTAGTATTGTTTTTTTTTTTTTTTTTTACAATATAGATTAATGCACGTCAATCAGTTATTAACCGGTTGAAATCAGCCGTAAAGCCAATCAATAGCAGTTTATGCTGGATTTTAATATTCTGTTACCAAATTCTAGCCGATTCTTTAAAAAAGAAAATAAATACTACCAGCTATATTTTCATATACAAAAGTAGAGCTATAGCCAAACATTTGTTTAAACCATTTTCGATAATATGCATATACTAGAATTTCGGCATGAATCTAATTATTTTCTAGCTGGGCTTTCCCCACCACAGAGTAAACTATTTATGAATAATAAATATAGATTTATAGCTGGGATATTTCTGGTCTGTTTTAGCTTTCAGTTTGTATAATTTACTGCAAATGAATTTCCGCTTATGAACTAGATCAGTTGATATTTTTTGTGAACTTGTTCAAACAACTGAACCCAACTGGGTGCAAGCACCGAAACAAGGGAGAAATTTGTTAATTCAAACCGCTAGAGCTACATGTTGTATATAAGATCTATGCTGTTATATATTTGGTATACACATATATCATGCCAGAAATTGTTGCAAATATACGACAAAGGTCATATTTCAATTTCATTTTGGGCAAATTCAGTGCCAAGAAGCAAAATGCCAAAAGTCATCAGGAAGGTATATGAAGAAAGTGTGCATTGTGCAGTCTATAGATATGACTTAAGGTACAGCTAGAATATATGTAGACACATTTGTCAAACTTTGAATACAGAAGAACGTGTGCGCCGGGTAAACAAAATTTGTAGAAATGCTGTTTCTATATAGACAGAGTGGAACAGAGCAGAGCAGATGTTTTAAGTCGTATGCGTCGTATAGTACATAGATGACGGCTATAGATATGTATAGATATATATGTATATGTATTGAGTATATATTTATAGCTATGCTTTAAACAATTGCTAGGGGGCAGTAATGAGCGGCGTTGCATGCTAATATTTGTGGCATCATTCAATTAAACAACAGTTTAAGGAGATATACACACAGCGATCTATGTATATACATTAATTTCTATGTATTTGTATATATAAATATATATAACTGTAGACATGCTAACTAACTTTTAGCGCTCACAGCTGAACAATTGTTCAAATGAATTATAAACATACATATATCTATACTAAAAAACATATATCTTTCGACAAGAAGAGTTCAATGTCAGCAATAAACAACATCGATATATGTATCAGCGAAATCGTACAAATAAATCGATATTTGTTTGTTTTTCGGTAAAACGTCAACCAGAAATACTTTTCATTTACATATATTAATCTGCGTTTTCTAGTAAAATCTAAGCCCACTAATTTCCCTAACTATTCAACTCCTTTAGCTGCCCATTTTGAACATCACTCTGATCATTCCAACGAGTGTTGACTGTACCTCAGCAGCTCCTCGCGCCAGGACTGTTCACTGGAATGCGTTGCCCGATAAACGATCATCGATAGGCGGCTGAAACTGCGCCGCAACTCCGACATCTTTGCTGCTATCGCTTGTCAATTATCGATTCGACAGAGGATCGTGCCGAATTGTTGTAAACACTTGAAAAATACTTCAAATCAAATACTGAGCTCGTTACTTTCGATTGTT